CTGACCTTGGCCACTGGTTAACAGTGTTATACATTAAAAAGGTAAATGACTATGACTTGTATGTTTCTTTTACTAAATTCTGTTATAGAATTCCAGATTCTAGTTAAACAGGATAAACAAATTTTTAGTTGAAGCTCTCCTACCTTTAAGAGGTAGGAAGCTGTGATGAGAGTACAACTGGGGGAGCAGGAATCACCCCGTTCAGCCCCCAGCTCTGCCATGTGGGCGCTGTGTGTTGCCTAGGCCTCTGGACCCTGGGATTCAGCCAGAGATCTGCACACTCCAGCACTCATTAAGAAAGTAGCACTGTTTCAGTGAATTTCCTTACAGTTAAAGAAACAGCAGAGCTGATCCAGGGCGGGTCACCAATAAGCAGAAAGTTCTGAATGCTGCCTGTGGTCGGCAGCCACAAGTATCGCTGGAGTCCTAAGGATTTCAGAAAGCTGGAAGGGCTTTGTTCTCATAAAGAAACAATAAAAGATGAGATGGATCTTTAACCTGGTATAAACTTATGCAATGTATGCAATTATGGAAACATCACACAGAAGCCTATAAAAATATATAATATTATGTTTTATGTATCAGTTAAAAGTGAATTTTAATTACAAATAAACAGTTGCATAAAGCCAGCACAGGTCTACAATCTTGGAACTCTGGGAGGCTGAGGCAGGAGGATCAAAAATTGGAGCCCAGACTGGGTAACTTAAGTGATTTAGCAAGACCCTGCTTCAAAATAAAAAAATAAAGGGCTGGGGATGCAGCTCAATGCAAAGGCCCTGGGTTCAATCCCTAGCACCACACACAAAGAGATACACAAATACACTGCATTTTAAAAACGCTGCTTCCTTTTGCCCTGGCTTGTCTGTAAAGGCCTCACAGAGCAGTTGGCACAGAGTAGTGACCCTGAGGCGTGCAACAATGCCTAGCTGACCATACTGTGAGTGCAGCCTTCACACACACATGTAAAATGCATTTGTGAGGCCGCCTGTCCTCCAGGACTACAAAGTGTGACATTTGCCATATGAAACTACCAGGGATAAAAACTTCACATCACACCCTGTCCCTAACCTTCTGTGCCTCCGCTTTCTCATTTGAGACTTGGTTTAAAAACAAATTATTTTTAACAGTTTCAGGCTCTTATTTTAATTTCCACAGGCTGTTGCGGAATCTGCTCAGTCCATCAGGGAGGGGACAGGAACTGAAGCAATCAGGGCTCCCCTTGGCACCCTGGCATCCTCATGAAGCCAGCCAGGGACCATCAGGATGGGGGCTGGGCACTGGAAGGGGTGGAGGCTGCTGTTCCCAGAGAGGGAAGGCACAGGGAGGCACGCAGCCCAGCCAGGCTGCTGGGTCCAACAGGCCAGGAAAACAGCCCTGACCTGCAGCCCTGTGCTGCATTAATCACTGCTGGGATCCAGACCTCTGGGGACTGAGGTTAGAAGGAAGTGAGAATCCAGCCATGGGGGTCAAGTCTGCCAGCTACTGGCCAGGTGATTCTAGACAAGTTACTTCTCCTGGAGCCTCAGTTTCTCCAAATTTGGATGAGAATGGTGGTAAACAGTGGCCCTGACCTCACAGGGTCGGGGCAGGGTCTCTGGCACGAGGCCCAAGTGGCAGGAACTTGAGCCCAGGCCTGCAGGAAACACACATGGGAGAGGGGTACAGGGCCCAGCAGCCCACGAAAGAAGGTCTGGCCTTGGCATGGGGCTCCTCCCACACCTACAACCTCCCTACCTTCCTCTCTGAGCACCCATGGCTTGGCAGCACCCCACAGGCAGACAGCACTACAGAGGGACCCAGCACAGATGGGAGCCCAAGGACCAGAGTCAAGAGTTCAACCCACCACCCCTCGGCAGGCTCTTCTATTCCAGGGTGCCCTCCATATCCGGCCCTGGAGCCAGCCCCACGTCCCTGGCCTGCCGTAGCTGAAAGGGAAAAAAAAAAAAAAAAAAAAAGAACAAGATACGCTAGGTCTTATGTAATTTGTTTATAAAAAGAAAAGTGTTCATTAAGGAAAATTTGGAAATATAGAAAGGCACAAAAAAGAAAACAAAAATTACCCATGAGGTAATTACTAGGTACATTTTAGTCTATGTGCTGCTGAAGCGAGCACATTACTAGGTACATTTTGCTGGAAATCCTTCTGGTGTATTTTCCAAACAATGTGCATGTGTATGTGTGTATGCATGTACATGTGTGCATAACTGGATCAGTACAGGTTACACATATGTATACATGTATATATATATGTGTGTAGTACTTAGATCATACTATAGGGCATTGTTAAATTTCTTTTCTTTTTTTTGGACAGGATCTCTATGTAATTCAGGCTGGCCTTGGACTATGTAGCCCAAGCTGGCTTTAAACTCAGTGATCCTCCTGCCTCAGCCTCCTGAGTGCTGGGATTACAAGCCTGTGTCACCATGCCCACCAATCTTTTCTCTTTAATATGGTGTGAGCATTTTATCATTCAATATTGTTCCTGAAAAGATTTGAAAAATCAAGTCATTTTAACATCTGGCTTTACTGAAGTATACCTTCCCTGCGTAAAACTTCTTTCCCTGTCCCTGAACTGTTAAACGCACATAACTGTAAAACTACCACCTCCATGGAGAAAGAGGACTCCCACTGTCACCCTCTGTCCACCAGATCCTCTGGTGGCAGTTCCTGCCTCCTGCCCCAGGCAGGCACCATCTGAGCCTGGTCGCTGCTGTCCAGGTGCACCTTCAGGAGACTTCACATGAGTGGGATGATGGAGCCCAAACTGGTCGGCGCACGTAACACTGGTCTACATGGCTCAGTCTGTCCAGGGCTGCTCTTTGTTACCACTTCCTGATATCCCACTGCGTGTCCACCACAGTTGCTCTGTCTACTGATGCACAGGTGGGTGGCTGCTGATTTCTTTTTGGCTATCATGAATAGAACTTTGTGAATGCCAATTTGTTATTATTATTTGCTATACTGAGGGTAAAACCTGGATCCTTCACACTGAGCTGCATCCCTGACCCTTTTTTTAAATTTTGAGACAGGGTCTCAGTAAAGCCACTAAGTCAGCCACTCTGGGCTCAAACTTGCCATCTTCCTGCCTCAGCCTCCCAGAGTGCTGGGATCACAGGTGTTTGGCACCAAACCCTGATTACTTTTGTTTTTGTAGTGAGCAGTGTCAGTGATGCATTGGAAAGACCCATGCAAGCGGGCTAAGCCTGTGTCTTTCCTTTCTGGAGATCGGAAACCCAGGACTCAGAGAGACAGTGTTGAGCCAGAGGCCACACAGCTGGACCGAACAGGCTGGGAGGAGAACTCCGCCTGCGAATCCCATTATCCTCTGGGACTAGGAACCGCCCTCTTACACGTCTGCCTGTTTCAGAAATGCTCCGAATTTTCCCACGAGGACAACTTCTATGAAAACCACACTTCGATTGGAGAGACGAAAGGCAGCCTTGTGCTGGCCAGGCTGGTGCAAGGTCTTCTGACTTCACAGTTTCAGCTCATCCCAGCCCCAGGCAGGAGGCCCGGACTTCCTGACTTGGCACCAAAGGGCTGATTGGTCCCCAAGGTGGCTGCTTCCATAGTGGTGTCGGGGCTGGGCTGGATATGGCAGTGTGCAGGAGAAGCAGGGATGAGAAAGTGCAAGTCAGAACACGAAACCAGGGTGTGGGCAGTGGGCTCCCAGCCACCTAATTCCCGGGGCGTGGAAATAGCTCAGCACGGAAACTGCAACCAAGCTTGACTGTGCTCACTTCCTAATGGGCTGCCAGGTATGTATCTGATACACCATTCCCATGATTTTATTTAATCCTCAATGGCTGAAAATTGTTATTCTCATTTTACAGAGGAGAACCTGGAGGCGCAGAGGGGTTAAGAAACTTACCTGAGGCTGCACAACAGTCGCTGCTCAATCCAGGAATACCTGTTCCCTGGAGATGGAAGCCCTCATCTCCAGTTAGTCTCTGCCTGTGCTTGGTTAGCAGGCCTGGGATACTTGTGCCTCTGGAGCTACCTCAGGAAGAACCCTAGGAGCTCAGATACCAATGCTCCAGGTCCCCTTCAACTCCTGCTCAGGCCCTGAAGGGCCTCTGTCTCTGGACCATACCTTGGGGCCATTCCACAGACCAGTGCCTGGGTCCTGGTGCCCATGGAAGGAGGGTGTTGGTTGCTGTCTTGGGGCAGCCCTGGGGCTGAAGCCTTCCTGCTCTTGAGGTCAACAAGCTGAAAGAGGCCTCTGTCCATGGAAGTTGAAAACAGAGAAGGAAGAGCCCATTCTCTGGAAAACATGTGTTTTCTGTTTACAGAGAGGCTTGTCCAGTTCCCATGCTTTGTTCTTTTAATATGGAGCCCCCCCCCCCCCCCGCCAAAAAAATCAATGGTGCAGCTTCCTCTGAGGTACGCTTGAAACTAGAAAATCTGGATGGCTGCAGGAAAGCTTTGCCGGGCCCCGGACTGGCGCCCTGGGTGCTGTCCGCTGCCAACGTCCAGCACATAGAACCTGTAAAGTCACAGCAGGGCAGAGGTCCCCAGTGCGACCCAGGGAGAGGATGGGTACACACCGGGGGCCCTTACTGGAACTGAGGCAGGGGAACAGGGGGCTAGTTTCTCAGAAACTGTGTGTGTGAGAGAGCGCACCAGCGTGCATTGGGCGTCCTCACATGCACATATCCCATTCCTGGGCTTCTGGCCAGGGACACTTAGTCCAACAAACTGGCCACCTCAGACTCATTTGCTTCTGCAGGCCCTTTCCTCAGACCTGCACAGAAAGTATCTTTCTCCTTCCCCTGAGCAGAGGGAGGCAGTCTACAGATGGCCCCCCATTTACACTAGTTTCAGGTTTTTCAACTTTGCCGTAGTACTTAAGTAAGGGGCATTCGGTAGAAACAGTATGTGGAATTCTGATCTTTCCCGCGCTGGTGTACGTGGTACAGCGCCCTTTCTACAATGGTGGGCACCGTGCTGCCTATGCTGTGGCGTGGCAGGTTAGGAGCATTCCATGCATTTTCAATGTGTGATGTTTTCATGTCACGGTGGGTTTATTAGTATGTTTTACATCCTAAGTCGGGGAGAGGCTGTATTTGGGGCTGTAGCAGAGTGGGTGGTGATGCCAGTCGCCTTCTGGTTAGCTGGTGTAGGAGAGCTAAGGTAAGCGACAGAGCTGGCCGCCAGCTGGGCCCACTATAAGGAACGATAATCACAGGATGCCAGGCTGCACAGGGTACAAGCCAAGACCTTGGGCTCCCCTCTGCTGCGGAAGGGGTGACTGGGGGTGACAGCACGTGACACAGCACTCACAGGCCCCAGGCCTGCTCTCGCTGTTTCCCATAACCCGCGGTGCTGGTGTTGCCCGGCTTCCAGCCTTCCGGAGGGGGCGCGCGGTCCACCGCCAGCACAGAAGGGTCTCTGCCGTCCTCCCGGGCCCCGCCCGCCAGCCCCTGTATCTGGGCCTCCAGCTCCAACCTCCGCGTCCCCACGCACCTGGCGGCGAAAGAAACATAAAGGTCAGGGGAAGCCACGAGACGTGGGGCCGGGCGCCCAGATCACCAGTTTGGATGGCCAAGGCCGTAGGCCCCCTGCCCGCACTTCCGCCCTTCCGCCCTTCCGCCCTCTCGCCACCTCCCCGGAAATCAGTGAGAGGCGCGACGCGCGCACGCAGCGCCGTTGCCGAGAGAGGTGGAGCCTCGCGCTCTGGGGCGGGACCACTGTGCGCACGGGCCGGGCCACGTGAGACCGACTCCGGAAGCCAGTACGCGGGCGAGGAGTGGGGGCTGCGCTGGCCCAGAGCTTCGGCCTAGGGGGCGGGGACTAACTTGGCGGCGGGGTCGCTGCGCGACCTGGGCGGGGCCTCTAGGCCACCCTGTAACATCTGCCGGGCAGCGGGTGGCGCGGATGAAGCGTCACAGCGGAGTGGGCGGAGACGGGGCGGGGCCTCGCCGGCCTGCTTGGAAAGCTCCGGGAAAGGCTGGGTGGTCGGCGGCGCTGGGGCCGAGGCGGGGGCTGCACGGGTGCTGCACGGGTGGAGCTCGGGGGCGGGACAAGACACTGGTGACCGGGTCCCTCCGTTGTTACCTCCTGCCGGGTTTGGCCAGAGCCCAGCAGCCCTGGAGTCTCTCGCTCCCTCTCACGGAGACCCTTCTGGCTGACTTCACTTAAATCGGACTTTTATTTAAATTAGATTTTTCTCTTCTAAAAGCACACTTCCCTTCCTCTCTAAACCAGATAAAGCAGCCCGTGGAGAAAATGCAAAACAAAGGGAGAAAAAGAGGAACCTTTCCGAGGCGCACCAACCCAGGCTCCTCTGCAGTCTCTTTTTTTGGTAAATACTGTATATTGGGTTTTGCATAATGGGATAACGCTGTCTATCCTTGTGGATGCATTTAAAGTAATTATTTTTTTCCTGCAAAAGCCACTCGTGTTATTGCAGAAAATTTGGAAAATTGAAGAATATACAAATAATCTGATCACACAGGATTGCCAGTGTTAACACATTTGGCATTCTTTTTTTTTTATAATTATATATGTAATCTTGATGTCACCAGTTACATCTCTTCTTTGCCTACTTCCTCCTTTCCTGATGATCATCCTTGCAAGCTAAATCTTGGTGAGTCTTCATGGAAATTCCATTTGATAAATCCCTAAACGTGGAATTGCTGTGTCAAAGAGTAAACAGTATGCACTAACGTTTCCTGGACCCACCCCCTTCTTCAACGTGTTTACTAAATTTAAGAAATGAGACATTAAGCCGAGCCTGGTGGTGCACATGTCTAATTTCCCCCACTCTGGGAGGCTGAAGCAGGAGGATATTGAGTTCAAGTCCTAGGCAGCTTAAGGACTTAGTGAGACCCTGTCTTAAAATAAAAAATTTTAAAACGACTTTTTTAAAGAGCTGGGAATGTAGCTCAGTGCAAAGCCCCTATGTCCAGTCCCCAGTACCTTTAAAAAAAAGTAATAAATGAATATTTTAACAACTGCTTTGACCTAAGAGTACTTTATATCAAAACAAATCTCTCATATGCAGATTATATAAAGAACTACAACTCAACAACAAAATGACCAATTTAATTATGGGTAAAGAACTTGAATTTCTTCAAAGAAGATATAGAAATGGCCAATAAGATGAGAATACGGCCAACATCACTCATTAGAGAAGTGCAAATCAAGATCTGATAAGATAGCACCTCACACATGTACTGTAACTAGTACTCATATGAACAAAAGGAAAAAAGTATTGACAAGGGTGTGGAAAAACTGCAAACTTTGTGGTGGGAATGGAAAATGGTGCAGTTGCTCTAGGAAACGGTGTGGTGGCTCCTCAAAAAAACAAAACAGATACCTAGAAAAAGTCAAATAAGTAGCAGAGTGGTTCCTAGGTACAGGAGGTGGAGTTATTTAACAGATCAGTTTCAGTTTAGGATGATGAAATAATTGTGATGAGTAAAGCTGCTGGTTGCACAATATTTTTTTTTTTTTTTGAGACGGGGTCTTCCTTTGTAGTTCAGGCTAGCCTTGAACTCACTGTGTGGCCCTGGCTGGCCTTGAACTTGAGGCAATCCTGCCTCAGCCTCCCAAGTGCTGGGATTACAGGTGTGCACTACCATGCCCGGCAGTTGTACAATAATGTGTATGTACTTAATGCTACTGAAAGGTAAATTTGATTGTGTATGTTTTGTCACACACTTACAGACTTTTGGGGGTGAGGGGCTAGAGATTTTTCTTAGGTTCTGGTCCCAAGAATGCCCAACTGGAGCAAGGCCTGTACATGTGACCACTGCAGAGGGAGGGATGGCACTTCTGAGAAGCTCTGCTTGGGGCAAGTGGGCCACACCAGGCTTCCCATTCAGTATTTTCTGTAATAATTTCCAAGCTGGGAAAGAGAAACCTGCTTTGGAGAAGTAGTGAGTCTGATGGGTCTCAGTCTGAACTTGGCCTTTTATTTCTGGGCCACTGAAGTACATTCCCATATGTATACACACACTTAGACATATGAGGTGCCATCGAAAAATATAGTATATGTTTAACTTTTAAAATGTATTACAGTAAAAGACACATTGCCACGAATCGCCCTCAAAATTCTCGCCCTTGGCACTTCCTGCAGCAGCTCTGGAGTCCTCCTTCCTGAGTGTCTTTAGTTGTGCTGTTGTGGCTGCCTTAATGTCCTGAATTGATTCAAAATGTTTCCCTTTCATGGTCATTTTTAGTTTGGGGAAGAGCCAAAGGTTGCACTGTGCCAGACCCAGTGAATAAGGTGGATGAGGACATAGCATCATGTTTTTATGAGCCTGCTTTTCTATTAGATGGCACATGCCAGCAAGATCCTCATAAAGACAGGAAAGAGGATTCCAAAACTGTTCAGAAAGTGTTAAGAATGATGAAATAAGTGTGTTCAAAGTAATGGGGAGGTTTTTGAGGGGAATTCATGGTAATGTGTCTTTTACTGTAATGAATTTTAAAAATTTAAACAATGACCATAGTTTTCACTCACCCCTTGTATGCCTTCATTGACAAACACAATCCATGTTTATTGCTGACAATTTTGCATGAAAGAGATCCCATGAGAAACTAACATATGTAGAATCCCAACTCCATGCTGGCGCTGGTGTGTGTCCCTTGAATCTTCCTCTTCTTTCCTAGAACACACTTAAGTCCTTGTGGCCATGCATCCTGTTTTATTATCCTCAATCTTTGCTAATACACAATGAGAAATCCCCTCATCTAAGTGTTCCTCCAGCACGCGCAAATGATGGTAGAGGTATCCATTGTACCGATCGGTGGCCCGCACAGACCTCTTCTGCCTGCTGCTCCACTGCTGGAGGTCTTGGGGACTCACATTAGTGTCCCCACGCACATCTCTCATGTGCATGCCTGCAGATGTGTCAGTGTCTTATTCTACCTGGTGGATGTCCTGCCACAGTGGTCAGGAGGTCCCTGCTGGGGCTGTGTCCACAAGGCGCTCCCATCTTCTCTGCCCGGCCCTAATCCCCAAGACAGTGGGGTGGGGGTCTGGGCGTGGAGCCCTGTAGGACCCCATTCCAGCACTCTGGAGGAGGCCCCACCCCAGCTGCCTTTACTGTCCTCTGCTGGTTTGGGAGCTGTCACGTGGGTGGGGCTGCTTCTCCGGGCAGAGCAGAGGCCCTAGCTTTTCTCCAGGTCCTCTGTCTCCTGGTGCTCCCACAGGCAGCGTCCACAGTTGCAGCTGCTGTGCTGGATCTCCGTATAGGCAGGGCCCCTAGGAAGCTGCTGCACCTGCGACCCGAGGTCTCTGCCTCAGGCCAGGTCACAGCAGCTCCAGGAAGCCAGGCGGCACCATGGCCACTCCCAGAGTGAGGCTTGTCCCATCTCTGAAACTCTTCTGTCCAGTCTCACTGTCTCTCGAAATTTCCCAGAGAGCATCGACTCCACAGCGCCTGTGAGCGCGTACACACACACACACACACACACACACACACACACACACACACTCCTGGGCACACACACATGCTTCTTCCAAAGGGATGCTCTTCCTATTCCCATCATGATTGGAGTTTCCTCCCCCTTATTCTTTCTTTTATTTAAATTTTTTTATTTGTACACATTTGTAGCGCATAATGTTTATGTTCACCTCAGGGGTAGGTACCTATACTTAACAGACAGTGCAATAAGGAAGGTCACTTCCAAGTCACAGATAAGGCTCCAGGGAGGGGCCGCAGACATCACTGCATGAGCCAGGGCTGGAAAAGAACCTGAACCTCCTGAGGATCCATCTGGGGCTTGGCAGCCCCTCTTGGTGCCCCACCTCGACAGCCCACCTGCTCCACCCTGTCCTAGGCTTGCACCCCAGGACATGATGCCCCCACCTTGTGGCTCTCCAGTGCCAGCTGCTGGCTTCACACGGGTGCCACATGGGCAGAGCTGCAGGAAGTTGGGGTCCTTGGCAGCCTCAGGCACGTGAGTCCCTGGTTGTGCTGCACTGGCTTTTAAACCTCCTGGAGGGGCATCTTGTGGGTATCTGGCTCACAGGATTTCAGAGAAGGCCAGAGGTGCCCAGCAGCAGGGCCTGCCCGGGACAGGCCCTACACATTCCCAGAAAGGCTTGAGCCTCTCTGCAGGGACTGGTGATGCCCTGTGTCCTGGCCTCCCCATTGGCCACCACACAGAGTCCCCCTCCCCTGCTGCATCTGCCCATTCAGTTCCAAAGCCAGCTAATCCATGCTAAATGTGGCCAGAGTGGGAATCTAGGGAGTGAGTCTGGGGGTGAGTGTAGCACCCCCGAGACCAGGGCTCCAGAGGGCAGTAGTGGTGTTGATGGTAGCCTGAGATGGTGGCGCCTGAGGCCTCTTTGGGTTAGCCTGCAAGTTCACAACACGGCAAGCCCAGCTTCAAGGGTTCATGTGTCCTTGTCCTGGGCCACCAGCCCGGAGGTTCCCTAGTACCTTGGAGACCACAGAAGGCTACCACACCACGGGTCAGGGGAAACTGAGGCAGGGACAGGCCGCGCCTCTGCATCCTGCAGTCCACTCCCCGCCGTGGGCAGGGCCACCACAGACAGCTGGCAAGGTCCCCAGCAGGAGGCGAGGTGGCCGGGTGAGGGGCTCCTGGCAGCAGGGACCTAGGGACGCTCTGCCAGGCTGATTAGCATGGCGCGGGCGCAGGCCGGGCTGGCACGCACGTCCTCACGGGCCCAGCTGGCCAGGCCGAGACACAAAGCGCCCAGACGGCGGCCGCGGCATTCACACGTCCGGGCGGGGCCCGGCCCACCGGCTCCTGACCTTGAACCTTTGTGACTGGAGCGCATGCAAATCGCGGCGGGCCTGCGACAAGCCCGAGGGCGCCGCTGCCCGGGGAGC